TGTAGTACAGTATCGAATACAATCATCTAGTAGATTACATATCATTAGACGTTAGTCAGGGGGGATGAAATAAGGTAGAACGTGCGTCGGTGTTCCCGTCAGTGGCGAGAAAATTAATGACCAAAAATTACAACCCACAGTTCTTTTACCTTTAATGTTAAAGAGCTAAAATACAATGATTGTTCTCAACGTAAAGATATAGATGGCAATTCTGACAAGTAACAGCTTCTCCGCTTAGTTATGACGTCGTGTGACTGATTTTTTTCTAATCTTTCGATGATGCCAATTGTATCACGTGATTGTAAGACAGGTGATTGTACAGTACATACTTTTATACACTCTTAACTAATTTTTATGAGTAAATTCCCGTGTGTAAGTATACAGAATTTAAACAAATGATTATGATTAATGTGTAGCAACGAATTAAATTTATGATGGTTTTATTAATTAAATGAAATTTTTTAAAATGTTTTTTTAAAAAAAAGATACTTTTTTTAATTTTAAATTTGCTTCTTAATTGAGAAAAACTCATAAATGTAAGGTTAATTTTTGAGTTAAGTCTATACAATTTGATTTACAGTATAATGCCATAAAATGTTGACTTTATATCTTGTAGGATTTTTATTAAGAGGTTAGAGACTTAAAAATTTTATTTTATTTTATTTTGTAGATTAATTATATTGTATAAAAGAGGGGAAATCCCTATAGATGAAAGCATTAAACCTATAAAATTATCTCTCTTTATTCACTAATTTTTTTTTCTTCACTAATTTTCGAGGGTTTTCATGCCCTAGCTGTTAAAATTCGTGCTGTAAATTGGCAGTTTTGTACTTATAAATTAGAGCATAGTAATGATGATTCTGTATTATAGGTTGAAACAGATCAAGAAGATCTTATGCTCTAAATTATGTTATATCAATGATTCTATGCTACATACTGGAACACAATAATGATGAATCTATATTAAAGTAAATCTATATAAGTTCTAATTTATTGAACATAAATTAGAACATACTAATGATGATTATATGCTTAAATTGAGAAATATTAAAGTGTGTTCTATACAATAAATTGGAGAATATAATTACGTTTCTGTAATATAAACTGGAGCTTACTTAATAATAAGTCATTAGTTAAGTTCCGGTTTACAACACAATAAACTCTAAACTAAACACCAATTTATGACGTAATAGATCTTACACTAATGACGATTGTATACGATAAATTGAAATGTATAGATGTAAAATTAATGCAATTTATAAGTACAACGGTATAAATTCAAATAGCAACAAGTATTTAAAAAAAAATGGGGTTGAGGGTAGTTATAAAGACTCATAAACTATCAACCGAATTAACGGTTATGTTTATGTAAGATTTAACGGTCTATTTATCGAACGAATCACGCACCGCTGACTGTGAGCACGTGACTAACTGGTGCACCCCCTGTGGAGGCGGGATGGGTGTAGGTAAGTTGAATGATGAATCGCGTTAGGTCAGGTATTATCACCTGACTTAATTGTGTTTGTTTAAGGCACAGTTGAGAACGGCGCCAACTGTGAAGCATAGTGGCGTCTGAGCCAATTTCTTTTCTTATCTCTTCCTATTTTTATAGTAATAGGTCTACGTCATTAATATTTGATCTGGTATACACCGTAGGGGGAGGAGGAAAAAAAAAAAGAGTGTATATGTATGTATATATTCCCGTCCGATTCTCGAACATCGTGAGAAGTTTGTTTAAACACAGCAGGGAGGAAATGACGTTGGTTAAGCCCATGAACCTTACTATGATTCGTCAAATATGAAGTATAATTGCATTATATACCACGCCTCTACTCCCTCGTTAGACCGGGTTTCGTACTTTATTTTTTAATTCATTACACAATTTTGATATATAATCCGATTAAGTTGTTATGGAATTTAATGGAAATTCCATAATATCTATTGGTAATTTTATTTTAATTTTTAATAAAAAATATTTAATGAATTGTTTTCATTAATGTGCTACTATCGATGGGAATAATACAGTTGTGAATAAATTTCAATATAAAAAATATAAATTATATTATATTTAACTCGATAAAAGTCCTAAATTAAAATCATACAAAGTCAATTAAAGTTACATTGAAGTTAAGCAAGAATTAGTATAAAATTAATTAGATTTATATAAATTTTCATATATTTTCTAGGACATTTTGTATTTAAAAAAGATTATTTCCTTGTGTTTTTAATGTATAAATGTAGGTTAAAGTTATAAACAGTGAAAGTAGCTTTTAAAATTCTTGGATATAAGTTAAAGTACATTTTTTTTTAATATAAAATTATCATTAAAATTAAATATATAGGTCCTTCTGTAGACCTTTAAACCTATTTTTGTAGAAATATTTTATTAATTAATTCTAAATTTTCTATGATTAATTACAATTCCAAGGAGAAAGTGTAAAGAAATAGGTCTAAGTTTTATGCAAAAATTTCTATAAATTAAGCAAAATTATTTATAAAAAATTGTATTTTTTTTCCTAGTTAAATAATAGCAGGAACATTAAAAAATTAATTAAAAAATTTATTTTTACATGAAAAATTTGAGTGTATGTGAATATCTAGAATAAATTTATTCGTTTTTATATTAAAAATAATTTTAATTAAATTAAGTTATAAATATTTAACAATTTAAAGATTTTAATTAAAGGATTTTTGGGTTAATTTATATGAAATCTTTAGAAAATTCAGATAATTTTTTTGAATTTTNTTTTGCTACTTAAAATATTCAAATATTTGTATTTAAATTATTATATAATTTAAGAAATGAATAAAAATAATATTTCTAAATATATTACTTGCTTTATTAGGTTCTATATTTTTCTGTAAAGTCATTAAAAAAGCCAATGAATCAGCCGAAAAAATTGGAATTCTTTCAAATATCCTATACATTAAATTACTATAACAACTAATTGTTTAAATTAATTACATTATTATTAATAACAATTTTTTTTAGATTAAATTTTAAACATTTACGATGTATTTGAAATTAAAACAAGTAATAAATCTATATAGGCAAATTCAAACTAATATTCTCTCTCTAATTTAATTAATTAATATTTAAATATCAGTTAAATTAAAAAGAAAAAGAATGAATTATATAAATTATTATTATTTTATTTTGAAAGATATAATTTATTATATATAAAGTAAGAGTTGCAGACTTCTTACAAAAATGAGCTAATCAATCACCATTTTGTCATTGCAACCGCTGCTGCTGCTAAGATAAACTATGGAAATAAATAAATAACATAAATTAACTTGTCAAATAATATAATCTAAGATGTCAAAACACTCCATAAACGTCATCAAATAAATTAATACGTTTATCATTAACTCTTATCATTTCACGCCATCTAAAATATCTTCTTCTTCTTCTTCCATAAAGGTTCTACACTTTAATTAATCTTTAGTTTTGAACGAATTAATAAATTATACAGGCAAGGTCACATTTTATCTTATCGCATTTATTAATGAAAGTTATTTAATGATCTTGAAAGTGTATAAAATGCTATAATACATACACATTATACAATATAGTGCTCTTAAAAGTGTGTATAGGGCTATATTATACAGTATCACTTATAATAGTTCTATATCTTGTTATAGTACAGCATAGGATAGTGTATATTCTCTTAAAAGTATATAGAAGATTATAAAATACTTTATTTTACAGTAGCCTATATAGAATAACCTCTAATAGTTCTCTACCTTATTATATAGTGCTTCTAATATTTCTAGTATAATTTAATGTAATTCTAATAAAGTAATACTTCCTGTAGTATATTAGATAAATATAAGTTCTATATTTATAAATGTACTGTCTACTATAAAGGTACTTTGTACAGTATTTATACAGTAGACAGTACTGGGCATACTGTAAAGGTACTATAGGTTTAGGTACAGTACAGTATCACTTGCCTACTGTATAGGAACAGCACTATATATAATACTTATAGAGTAAGTAAGTAGTATAGTTATGTCTACCTATACTACTTGTCTACTATGTATACTACTACGTACTGTACAGTACTACTACTTAGTTATTCCATGTATAGTAGCACTTAAAATAAACAAGAACTATTATAGTAAATTTGTAGCTCTGGTATTATACTATATTTAATAAGCGCCTAATAAACTAATACCTACTTTATTAATATATAGTGAAATAAATTATAAAACTATCATACTTCCATACTCTTAAATTTATTTTAGAGTTATTTTTAATGTATATTTTTCATTTAGATAGATACGAATTTTATGCACACCTGCTACACAACAGGTTAAAGATCTGGCGAAAGATCAGCTCGTTTCATAATAACCAATTGAGTCATACTTATTTTATGATGATACTATGAAATTGCTAGAGAGAATAAAGAAAAAATTAACTTAGATAGTGATAGGTATAAGACAGCAGTAGGCATAATGCATGATAGGCAGGTGTTCCTTCACACCAGGAGATAATCTAAGCATATCGAAATAACAGAGGAAGATGCCGGCTTGCTAACATCGAAGACAACATGCTGTTAGGTTACAGAGAATAGAAACACGCCAGTAACTTAATGTTACAACCTTCACTCTTACATGTGCCAGCTGTAATTCACTATAGTTTAAGTACTTCGTACCTCCCTATAGACTTTCTATATATTTGTGATGTTAATTATTTTAGCGAGCGGGAGGTGTTCAGCACAAGTGAATTCCTTATTTGGTATCGCTCTTAATACTTAAATTTTAGTATAATTAATTAATGACGTGCCGTTCCTTAGAATGGAGATAAGGAGCAATCACGCTGACCGGATACATACCTTGTTAGCGTGTAAAGATCATTATTTGGATGGTTATAAGTGTAAAAATGACAATTAACATTTATAAATAAATAATTTTACACCCGTTAAGCTTATATAATTTTATTATTTAGTAATATTTATGTAGGGTTTATACAAAATAAATAAAAAAAGTGGTAGTAGAATTGATAAGAATTTATTATTATATATTTGTTTTTTTGTACAGCATAGGCCTAATAGACACAAAGACGAGGACGGAAAGAAGAGAAAATTACAAATAACCACGATAAAAAGTACATTTTTCGTACAGTTTTCTTTCGTTATTTTGTATGAGCACCGCTCGATTCTTTAAATATAACTGTGCAATTAAATGATGAGCAATTGTGCACAAAATGAAAAATTTTTGGAGACTTTTTAAAACGATTGTCAACTTGTTTCTGTGCTGTGTTCGTTCGAAGACCATCTATTATCACATTCTTCATTCGAATCTTCGTCTGGAGAAGGTACCGATTGGTTCGCTTCTTCAGAATTCGATGCTTCTGTTTGTCCTTCTTCTTGCTCTTGTGCCAATCTTTTATGCTTAGTTCTTCGATTTTGGAACCAAACTTTAACCTAAAAGTTAATTAAAATTGCAATAAATTACATCCTAATCTTCACAATACTATGATACTTTTAATTTGATAGAGTTATGATACTTTTAATTTGTACTAAATTTTAATGAATTCCTTATCAAGATGGTGAGGAATTGGTTAAAATTATATCGTTCACTTATCTTTTATTTAATTTATTCAATTATATTCACGACTAGAGTTACCGACACACAAAAGAATAAAGGAAATTCTGCATCATCGCCACTTAAAACGCATTAAATAACAAGGATTTGGGTTCTTTTCTCTCACGACGTCAATCCATTATCATCTTTAGGATCAAATTGACATTAAACGAGCGTATTGGTTGAGGCCTAACTTTAAATAATTGAACAAAATTTCATTCTGGAACCACTTGATTCAACTGTGTCCAAACTATTGTAGAAGGGCGTGAGTATTTTCAATGACAAAGAACACCCTGATAGAAATTCGCAATCTCTCAACAATAGAAGGGTCTGTCACTTTCTGTGACAATAATACTTGGAGTGTCGACGTAATCGGATTGGTGTGCTTCCTCTACTGTGCTACATGCATGGTTTCCGGACAGGATTAAGCTTACGTCTGCTTGCACTATTAACGTTATGTTTTCCTAGCACTTCACAGCCATCCTATGCCAGCTTATAAAGGCCTGCCAGCTCGAGTAAACACTCCTTCAGCCTATAACGAACGCTCTTCTCTGACTAGGTATTAAGTCTATTATAAAGAGATCTGCCTGCCTATTCTCAAAAGGGGAAACCATCTTTTCAATTTTTACAATTATTTGAACGATTCTTTTCAACGTTTCTACCTATTCACACTTAAGATAAACACTATATGGAGTAGATTTAACCTTTATCCAACCCAACTACTTGACATTACACGCGATATTCTTAATGTTTTTACAGCTGACTGCCGTGTCACTTATACAATAAATAGGTTATTTCATGTCAGCACAACTAAGAAGAACTGAAATTGAGACCAATTGACTTATAAGTCAATTTCTATAGCTGAATTTTCTTATTGTTTGATACTCTACCGGGATTCAATGTATGAGCGCTCTTAATAAAACCCTTTTGACCTTAAAAATACCATAAATAATTTCTAAAAAATTCCAAATCTTTCTTTCATTCAGAGATTAGGTTCTGTTATGTTAAATCTACAGACCTGTAGGAACGTTTCAAGGATGGGTCTATGGATAAAAATATACATATCATTTATTGATCTAAGCATTTATAAACTATATTTTTATGTATTAAGCTTCTTCTTTTCTATATTTTTATATTAAGCTTCTTCTTTTCTATATTTTTATATTAAGCTTATTTTTGTCACATATACTTTCTACATTTGATCTATAAAGTACTTTCTACATTTGATCTATAAAGTACAGTCGACCCCCCTATAATACTGTCGATTTTTTCATTTTATATGAATTCCATATTGTATGAGTCATTTAGATTTTACAAATACGTGAGCCATTCACAGCCCAGCACACATGTTTGTAAAATCTAAGTGACTCGTACAACATGGAATTCATATAAAACGGAAAAATCAACAGTGTTATAGAGGGGTCGACTGTATAAAATTAAACACTTAATATGTGTTTAATAATAGAATAAACTTTATACAGTAAAACCTGTGTAAATCGGATTGTCTGATACAGAAATTTTCCGTTTTAGACAGGTTTTAATGTATTAAAATTATAATAAAAATTGTAGACAATTTATTCGATTTTATTATTAAATTATACCCAATTTTCTCTATTTTATAACACTGTTTTACGTTTTTTTTTCTTTATCCATTTACGTAGAACTTCATAAATTACAATTTAATAAATTATTATTTTTTTGCGTTTTTATAATGATTAACGTATTAAGGTATTATTAATTACATCACGTTTAATATTTGCAATGAGTTTAATATATAAATTTCATTTAAAAAAAATAAGATTTAAAGCTCAGCAAATGCAATTAATCACGTTCAATGTAGCATGAATAATGGCGTGTTGCATTATACGATACAAGCAGTTAAAATGGCAATTATAATTTAAACACAATTTAAAATATCATAGTTCATTTTAAAGCCCGCTTTCTACGAATTTTAAGCAGTTATTAAGTAGAAAATTGCATATTTTGAGTATCGAATGAATGCACTCGCGTGACGATCACCCATAGAAGATATCGTTTTAACGAACTTTGTGGTATCGAACATGTTCTAATTAAGTCCTTTATTCGATGATCAATACACTAAGAAAGGTTCTATCTATATAATTTTAAGGGGGTGGATTAGAAAATACTCTCCTTTCTATCTCAAAATTGGATACAAAAATGGCAACCAGAGGCATTTTAGGTCAATTACAAATGATTTGAATTTCACAGTGGGTCTGCAAACATTCACAATTGGTAACTAATACAGTTAAAATGAGGATTTAGACCACCCACACGGATGCGTGACCCCCTGACCTCTTAGGTAGAGGTCAATAAGGATTAAGGAAGGGTACAGCATCGTTAAAGATAAATGGCTATTGGAATCATTCGTGACGTAGAGAGATGGTTGTCTTATTTCATACCAAATCTTGTCGAACTTTCTTTAAAAAATGTAGTTTTTTTTTAACGTATAATGTGCATGTGTTTTTTACTTAAAAATTAATATTTTTTGCGATTTATTTTACTGCACTTTATAATTTAAAAAAAATACAATTTTTACTATAAAAAAATTAAATTATTTTTAATTATAAAGCAAATTTTTATCCAAAAAAACACACCCCAAAGTGGCGACGTTACGAACAAAACGGCGCAAAATAAACCCCGTTTTTAAATATATATATATATATATTTTTTTTAAGAGAAAAGTTATTTTTAGAATTTCTGAATTGACGTAACACATTGTTACGTAAGTAAATAACAGAGTAAATTTATAAAAGAAGTAAAATAAGGAACAATTGGTGGAAGAATGATGTTATTTATTATGGAGACAGCGATGACAAGGCCTCAGACCAACAAATCACTTAGTCCAATTAAACTAAACTTATTGCTGTTGGATGTTTGAGTTCCCACGTAACGTGACACTTCTATTTTAACACTCCATAATACGCATGCGCACGAATTAGTAGTATCTTACACTTCAAACCGGTCAATCTAATTTACACTTAGCTTGGCAGCAAACAAATTTTTCAATTTTTTTGGAAGCGTTTTTGTGGTCCGATCTTAACCAAATTTGGTAAAAAGGTGTAAATTAAACCCTTAAATCTACTCAAAAAATTTCGTGTCTTTATCTTTAATAATTTGTGTGTTAATGAATAAAACATTCAGAAAAACTACTTTTTTAAAAAATTTTTTGGACATATTTATGGTCCAATCTTGGTGAAATTTCGCAGGAAAGCGTGAATTTCATCCCTTAACTTACACTAAAAATTTCGTTTGTTTATCTCGAATAGTTTGTGTTATTTGACGAAAACATCCAGACAAACTGACAGACTAACGGAAATTCGGCCAGTATTTTAAATATTTACAAATAATGTAGATTAAAACTTATCAAATGAGTAATAGTTTATTTGATTGATGAGTAAAGCAATCGTTAAATATTAATCAATCCCCGGGTGTAGAGATAATTTATTCTCGATATTATTGATAATTATACACCAATTATCTTCACTCCCAAAATATTATTTTTAGTACAACTTTGTTGAATAATAATTTCCAAAATTGCTTTATAGTTAATTAACAGATTTATGAACACCCTTTTAATCATTTATAATATATAGCCTATATATTAAGGAATACGCACAGACAGCCTAACAAACAACTCAGTTTTAGAATAAATTTTTTAATGCTTTTATTAGAGAATTTTTAAGCTTTGTAAACAGTCAACTTAATAAAAATCTGTTGGTTTTTGACTGTAGTAAAGTCAAAATTTGACAAGTAAACGTAGGCGTTACTTTATAGCTTATACATTTTAGACCACGCCTGCTTAATACAACAATGATAAATCACTTAAAGATTCTGTTTATAGATTATTCTAATGTAAATAAGTTAGTAAAAAAATAAAATAAAATAAAATACATTTAAAAAATTTGATAAGCTCTTATATTAAGCTACTTAGAAGTGAGTGACTGTTGGGTTAAATCTTGTAAAAAAAATAGATTAAAATTCTTCTATGCTTACTTGAGTTTCAGTTAAGCTTAAAGTCTGCGCCAATTGTTTTCTCTCAGCTCCAACTACATAATGATTCTTCTCGAATGCGTGTTCTAACTTTAGTAGTTGAGAGGGTGAAAATGCTGTCCTGATCCTTTTTGGTTTTCTGAACGGATGAAAGAGAAATGCTGTAGGATCGTGACCTGTAAAGATACATATGATTTTTAATGTGTTATAATATATATATTGTGTTCCTACCTACTATGTTTGGTAGGTTATACTCTTACTTATGGTAAAGTGTTGATAAGGTTTCTATGGTAAGCGTTATCACTAGCTTATATACTTGATTTATAGATATGAATTGTTATCGGTAGCCTATCTACTGTCTAATATAAAGGCTGATTCATAACCTGTTATCAAGGATATTTTGTAGATGTGAATCCTTATCTTGGTCGAGATGCTACTCTAGAGATGTAAATTCTTATCATTATTATTATCATTTAGGTTATGTTAAATGTAAAGGATCTATAGATGCCAATCCTTATTAGAAACTAGCATACAGGCTAGTCTATGTAAGTGAATCCTTATCAGAATTTAACATTCAGGCTAGTGTATAGAAGTGAATCTTTAGACGAATATGTTAAAGGCTTTCTAAATGTGAATCCTTATTGTGACAGCCTAGTCTAAGGAAATGAATCTTTATTTTGGCCGAGCATGTAGGCTAACCTAGAGATACGAATTCTTATCGGAGAAGAGCACGCAGGCTAATCTCATGAAAGTTTGTATAAACACGAACCTTTAACTTATCATATATGTTAATTTATAGATAAACATCGCAATCAATAGCCTGAATTACGATACCCCATATGCAATTTATTAATTAGACTCTACGCGAGTATTTTCTTTTTTATAGATCTCTTCACCCGGTGACAAAATGTAACCGGGTGAAGAGATAGATGATCATAGATATCGAACAATTTCAGTATTTATATAGCAGTACACTTTATAATCAATCTATCGTAATTTCGGAGGAGTTGTAAGGACAGACATAATAAATTGCGACACGAAAAGCGTCTAAGAACAGTTAAAAAAAAACTGGATCCACTGAGTCTAACGACTAATTTCTATAAGTGGAATTATAAGATAGGCTTATAATCATTGTTCGATAAGAATTATCACGATAATACTATTATCTGTTCAAATTGATTACAATAAATGTCGCAAGCAATAAGAGATGATGTGCTTTCATCATGTCTTTTGCATTAACATGTTATTAACCCGTATAATGAAAGTGTAATATGATGTTTCGCATTTAGTGTACTTCGTGACAGGATCATTGCAAATATATCGATGATGTCGACTTCATCGCTCGAAAAATTATATAACATCCCCGCAAATGATACCTAACTCTCTAGAATATTAATTTAGACTTAATCGATATATTTTTTAAGTGCACTTTTATGTTTTAATATCAAATTTTAACTTAAATTCGTCATATTTTTAATCGTTTTATTCAGTTTTAGAGTTTTAATTGATTGTCAATGATACTTACAATGCTACTGACTTATATGTATAGCATAAAACAATATAAAAACATGCTACGTAGGCCTATTTGTAGGATAAGGATGAGTATCAGAACAGGCAATGCTTCAAACTTACGGAAGCCTATAGGCAATTCATATTCACAAGTATGCAAAGATAAACTGAAAGTTGTTAACAGGCTTGGACCACCCTGTATAAATTTAGCAAATTTGTGTTGAAACCATTAATCTCTTTCAGAGCAGCAATACTGAATTGTAACAGTTCATAAATCACTAAAAATTATCGTTTAAATGTAGAATTTTCTGTAAATTTAAGCATCGTGTAGTGTACTATAGCTAGTTTGAAGGTTATTCGAAGCTATATTAGTAAACTTAAAGAAGAATGGAGTAAAAATCAAAGCGAATCAGAGATTGTCAATCAAGCGTATAGGCCTTAAATTTCTTTGGAAATTTAAGGCCTATACGCTTGATACTTAACACTAGATAAATCTTAGTGTTAAGGCCGTGATCTAGAAAAGCTATTATTAGGTTTATAGACCTAATGACAGTCTTAATAGCTGAATATCCAAACTAGGAGTGTGGTCTCAATAACTGATCACGTAAGGTGCGTTAGAAGAAGTTCATCGACCAGACAACATCTAAGCGTAAACTTTGAACGATTTAACCGAAAATTATACAAGAGAAACAAGTGAGAATAGACGTAATTTAACTGTTTATCTTAGCTTGACTGCCGCCACTTAATACTCATTTATATGTGTAAATACCACAACACTGGCAGCTTTGTAATTTGCTCTTATCATACCTTCAGCTCAGATCGGCTTCGAGTTGACCGTAAGCTGTAATCAAATAAACACACACTGCCGAAAAGTTGTCACGATCTACAACATTCAAGGTGTAATCATACACTGAACTGATAGAGGATATAAAAAAAACCTTACACCTATCACGCAACTCGCATGAGTCGAGTCATTTAAGAGCTAGTACTTCAATCTTTTCAGTCTCTTACTTTACAACTTGTCTTTACTAATGCTAAATTATTTGTATATATTTGAATAATGAGAATAGAGGGCTTAATTATGTATTAAAATTAATGTCATTCGTATATAAGAGGCCTTGAAAATGATCCGAAAACCTGTCGAGGGATGTTGGAGAGAGTGAATCTTCCAGATTGATTCTAAACGACTGAATCTTTTAAAACAAATTGAAATTGTTATTTATTGTACAGTACTTGTTGGACTTTATAAAATATTGACTAATGGGGATCCAGTTTTTTCGTGTCTTTCTATTTTTGAGAGTCCAAAAATGGAATATTTTAGTACAGAAATTAAATTTTTTTAAAGTCTTCGTATGAGAAATTGAAGGGCGCAAATTCAAAATGACATAAAAAGTGAGGGTATTCTTGTATACAAATTATAATAAATTATATATAAAGTACAGTTCTTATCATAAAGGCCATTTTTAAAGCTAAAGATACTTCGAATTTGATATTTAAATCCTGTAAATTATTCAATTATAGAATATTTTATAGGGTATATTAATAATAATTTGTTTTTTTTTTCCTGCTGATTTATCGAATAAAATTAATTAAATATAAGCATAATTTATTAAAATAACCCACTACGGCTGGTATAAAAGTCGATTAACAGTGTTTTCTTCTAACTAAATGCTACACGTGTGAAAATAGTGATATGAGATAATATAAGGGGAAAATAATAAGAAAATTGAGTAAATTACCATGCATTTATTTATAAAATCGAGCATGTATTTGGATGAAGGGTGGACCAAAAGTCGGTTAACCATCATACTAGTTATAAAAACTCCTATCAAATCGTTCGACACGGTTAACCGACTTTTGGATCAAACAGTAATAATTTTAATTTCTGTCAAATGGACGAAGAACATTATTAAACATTTCATATTTTAAATATTAGTTTTAACACAGCAAAGGTCATAGTAATAAAAAAAAATAAAAGAAAGAGGAGGACGTCGAGAGACTTTTATGACTTTAGTATGTGACTAGAATTTGGAAACATTCGGGTAAAGCCAAGCGGACTTAGTGAATATGATCAATGTGGCTGGTTCACGAACAGTGGTGGATGACAATTAATGTGACTGACTCGAAAACGAATCAAAAACTACATTCACCTGCTGAGTTTGTTTTTTACAGATGCCACAAGAGGGCGGTACCTACATCATCGGAGCGAAAAATTACAAAGGTAGTAATGAACGTGATATGAAGCTTTGCTTCACTCACGTCATTCACGTTGAATGCCTGATGAATCAAATTCCTCCTTTTCTTTATATAATTTAAATATTTCTTATGGGAGTGAAGTATTTTAATATACTTTTTACTTTTAAAAATGTCCCTCCCCTCTTTCTCTCTTTTTCTTTTAAAAATAATATTTAAATTGTGTTTATAAAATTTCGTTTGTGAAACAATTCTCTTGATGATAATACAAATTGTATGAGGGGTGAAAGTTTGTTAACACCAATTCTTACCTTTAAAAAAATACCTTGTTTTAATTATTAAAACGTTACATATATAGGCTATATATATATATTGTTTTTATTATTATTTCATTTGAAATTTTTCATGTAAAAACAATTCCCCTGATGATTACAATGAAGGGGTAAAGAAGTTTGTTAATATCATTTCTTACCTTTACAAATATCATTTTTTATTCTTTATATTTTTAATATTTATATTTATTCAAATTATTATATATATAGGCCTATATATATATTGGATTTGGGCGTAGTTTCATTTGGAATGACAAGTGAAAGTATAACCTGTACACGTGATTTTCATATGATTTTAGGCTACTGTTTCACGCGATTTCAGGCTAAAGTTTTCATTTGATTTCAGACTAATTTCAATTGATTTCAGGCTAAAGTCTCATTTGATTTCAGGCTAATTTCAATTGATTTCAGGCTAAAGTCTTATTTGATTTCAGGCTACAGTTTCACTAAATTTTTATCTGATTTTAGGTTATAGTTTCATATAAAACAATTCTTCTGGTAAATAAATCGTATAGGAGTGTAAAAATTTAACAAATTTTTACCTTTAAAAATAACTTAATATTAAAAAAAAGGTATCATCATTATTATAAAAAAAAATTTGTATTTTAAGTTATAGTTTCATTTGGCATTATGTTTTTTTTTTTATTATTATAATTTTATTTTTCTTATCAGTAATTATTCATAGGTACAATTTATTGGGTTATTAACTAATAATATAGATAACGAATTCGTATCACGAATAGCAAATTGCCCTTTTAAATCCATGTGCGAGACCATAAAATTGTAAATATTTTATATTTTATGATGAATGATCTCATTCGACTTTTTTATCTTTCAAATGATTTTATTATTATCTCAACTTATCTTCGTTGCTTTGATAATAAATCAGTGCTTTCATCGTGTATACGTGTACTTGTGTATTTATTTATTATTATTTTTATTTTTTTCGATTTAAAATTAATGTTATGCCTTTTTTAGTGTACTCAAATTATATTTTTCTTCCATTTTTATATGTTTTTCCCCCTTATTATCATTGTAAATTCTTATTTGACACCTTTCTAGTTTTATATTTATATATGAATTTAAATTATTATCTATCTAATGATATTTTTGATGGTTTAGATTAATATAAGCTTGAAAAT